AGGTGCCCTAGCAACTCCAGATCTTAAATTGTATTATAAAGCAGCATTCATCAAAACTGCTTGGTACTGGCTAAGAAATAGGGAGGTGGATCAGTGGAATAGGTTAAATATGCAAGATACAGTAGTAAATGACTACAGTAATCTATTATTTGATAAACCCAAAGACCCCAGCTTCTGGGATAAGAACCCATTCTTTGAAAAAAACTGCTGGGAAAACTGGAAAAGAGTATGGCAGAAACTAGGCATAGACCCAAATCTCACACCATATACCAAAATAAAGTCAAAATGGGTTCATGATTTAGATATAAAGGCTGATACTATAAGTAAACTGGGAGAGCAAGGAATAGTTTACCTATCAGATCTATGGAAAACCGAAGAATTCATGACCAAACAGGAGATAGAGAACATTATGAAAAGCAAAATGGATAATTTTGATTATGTTAAATTGAAAAGTTTTTGCACAAACAAAGCCAATGCAACTAAGATTAGAAGGAAGGTAGAAAATTGGGAAAGAATTTTTACAACCAGTCTCTCTGATAAGAGCCTCATTTCTAAAATATATAGAGAATTAAGACAAATTTATAAGAATACAAGCCATTCCCCAATTGATAGATGGTTAAAGAATATGAACAGATAGTTCTCAGATGAAGAAATTAAAGCCATCTATAGTCATATGAAAAAATGCTCTAAATCGTTATTGATTAGAGAAATGCAAATCAAAACAACTCTGAGGTACCACATCACACCTATCAGATTGGCCAACATGACAAAACAGGAAAATGATAAATGTTGGAGAAGATGTGGGAAAATTGGAACACTAATGCATTGTTGGTGGAGTTGTGAAATAATCCAACCATTTTGGAGAACAATTTGGAACTGTGGCCAAAGGGCTATAAAAATGTGCATACCCTCTGACCCAGCAATAGTACTTCTAGGGCTATATCCCAAAGAGATCATACAAATGGGAAAAGGACCCACATGTACAAAAATATTCATAGCAGCTCTTTTTGTGATGGCAAAGAATTGGAAATTGAGAGGATGCCCATCAATTGGGGAATGGCTGAGCAAGTTGTGGTATATGAATGTAATGGAATACTATTTGTGATGGCAAAGAACTGGAAATTGAGAGGATGCCCATCAATTGGGGAATGGCTGAGCAAGTTGTGGTATATGAATGTAATGGAATACTATTGTGCCATAAGAAATGATGAACAGGCTGACTTCAGTAAAACCTGGAAAGACTTGCATGGTCTGAGGCTGAGTGAAGTGAGCAGAAACAAGAGAATGTTGTGCACAATAACAGCCACGTTGTGCGATGACTAATATTGATAAACTTAATCCTTCGCAGCAATACAAGGATCTAAGATACCTCCAGAGGCCTCGGGATGGAAAATGCTATCCATATCCAAAGAAAGAACTATGGAAGTTGAATCGCTATCTTTTTTTTTCTTCTGTTGGGTTTTGTGTCCTCTTTCTGATGGTTCCTCCTATTGGTTTTAATTTTTACTTACAACATCACTAATGTGAAAACATGTTTAATAGGAATGTAAACGTATAGCCTATATCAAATTGTGCACCATCTTAGGGGAGGGTGGTGGGGAGGAAGGGGGAGAAAAATTTTAAACTCAAAAGCATATGGAAGTGATTGTTGATAAATCAAAATAAATTAATAAAAGAAAAAAAATTTTAAAAAATAAAGTAGTGTGAAAAATCCCCCCCCCAAAAAAGGTCATAGGCAGGACTTGAACCCTGGATTTTCTGTTCTCTAACCATTACAATAGGCTTTCTTTGATATAAATCTGGTTTAGGCTAATAAAAAAGCTCCTTTAACAAAATTATTACTCTCCTATAAGGTTGTGCACTCCTTCAGATCATGGACTGTGATTTATTTGTCTCAATGACCTCCCTGAAGGCCTTTGATGTTCAGTCGTTTTTTCAATTGTGTCTGATTCTCTGTGACACCATTTGGATTTTCTTGGCAAAGATACTGGAATGGTTTGCCATTTCCTTCTCCAGCTCATTTTACAGATGAGGAAACTGAGGCAAATAGGGTTAAATGAATTTCCCAGGGCCCCATAGCTAGTAAGTGTCTGAGGCCACATTTGAACTCATGAAGACAAGTCTTCCTGATTCCAAGCCCAGTGCTCATCCACTACAGCATCCACAAGCATAAATATTAATAAATTTTTTTTTGAACTGAATTCTTTTAGAAAGCTAGATTCTACACTTTGGCATATTTTGGCTCAGATTCTGTGGGTAAATTATTTCAGGAGTGGGGGGAGCCGTCAGGCCCTTTCCAGTAGCTTTTCAAATCACTGCAGGGCCAATTAGGACTGAAGTGGATGTCTGGCAGTCGTGGCTCCTTAGGGGCCATTGTTAACTCTCGGCAAAACTGAAGTCAGTAGCTTATTTTTAGCACCCACATATTTCTGATGACAGGCCCTGTATCCACAGCTTTAGAAGGAGGCAGAGAGGCACTGAGAAGGGAGGCGGGAAGACACCAAGGACAAACCAACTGATTGGCATTTTTGCCCAAGGCCAGTCCTGCCTCCATTCTTTAACTGGCATTAATTAGCTCCCAAGATTTCTGAGCTTGGATCAGGTTTAATTTACATTTTAATAACCCCTTTGTACCTAGCCATTGACTAGTCTGGCAGCAGCTCTAGTGTGTGTAGCCAAGGTCTAGGAATACCAAGGTTATAGGTTAAATCTCTGAATAAGCAGTTCTGTAAAAATACAGAATCCCTCAGTTTCAGACCTTAACGGGACCTCAGAGGCCAACCTATGAATCCCTTCTATCACATGCGAGACAATTGGTCATCCAGGTTTTGTTTAAAGACATACAGTGGCAGGGAGCCCACTGACTCCTGAAGAAGTCTAACCCACTTCTAGATCGCTCCAAGTATTAGGAAGATTTTTCAGGTCCTCAACTTCAAGTTGTCTCTTTTCAAACTGGAATTGTAAATTGGAAATACAAGGTTTATTTTTTACACTCTTTGGTACTTTCATCCCCAAATACTCCTAGTTTTAGAGATGGCTTCTTGGAAAGAAACTTAAAGATCCAATCCCTTCGCTTTACAGGCATGGAAACTGAAGTCTAGAGAGCTAAAGTGACTCGCCCCAAAGTCACAGATGGTGGCAAAACCAGGATTGGAACGCAGGTGCCCTACTCCAAAGCCAGAGCTCTTTCTACTTCACACTGTTTCCTGTGCACAGACTATCATCATAAATACAGATAAGAAAGTAAGTACCTTTCTACAGCCAAAGATTCACATCAACCAGCTGTCTTCAAAGCAAGGAAACTGGGTCACCATGGGAAGAAGGGGGCAAGAAAGTGGACAGTTTGTGCAAACAGAATCTTCTTGCCATCAACAGATATTAAGGGAGCCACCGAGCGAGCCAGCGCTTTTAGAGCATTTCATTTACTATAGTGCTTTGAGTCCATTAAGGGATCAATAATACTTAATAATGATGATTTAGTAAACAGTCTTCATTGAATTAAATCACGGCCTAGCGGCTTCATGGAATCAATGGTCTTTAAAACTGAACATACCTAGAAAGGAGCTTGGTCCTCCACAGGACATAGATTCTCTTTGTCTCTCTGTCTGTGTCTCTCTCTACTTTTTCTTTTCAACAAGGATGTGATTATTTACTTACTCTGTGTTTGGTTGGCTGAGGATCAGCTGGGATTGCTTCTCAATGGCTGTTGTGGTCTTTACCACTTCCCATTTCAGATTTGGCTAAAACCCTTAGCCGGGATGGTGGTGTACTTTCTCAGAAAGGGCAAAGATTAGCTAAGAAAAAACCTATCTCATTCTGTTTCCTTGAATTAGGCCAGGGATAGGGAACCTATGGCCTCAAGGCCATATGTGGCCTTCTAGATCCTTGGGTGTGGCCTTTTGGCAGAGTCCAAGTTTTACAGAACAAAACCTTTTATTAAGGAGATTTGCTCTGTGAAGTTTGGATTCAAAGGGCTGCACTTGAGGACCTGGAGGGCTACATGTGGCCTCGAGGCTGCAGGTTCCCCACCCCTGAATTATACCCTACATTCTTTTTTACCTTCCACAGAAGAGGTAGCAGTGATGAGAGGCAGTCTCTCATTTGTTTTTCTTTGACACTCCTCGGCTGAGGCTGACTTTGGCAGTCACCTATGCCTGGAACACTGCCTCCTCATCTCTGCCTCCTGGCTTCCCTGGCTTCCTTCAAGCTAATAGCCCCCCTTTCTACATGAAGACTCCTTCCTTAATTATTTCCTGTTTATCACATACACATCTTGTTCATCTGTATTTATTTGCTTGTTATCTTCCCCATTAGATTGTGAGTAGCCAAGAACCTGGCACATTTTAGTAAAGGTTGAATAATTGACTGACAGAGATCTTTCTCCAGCACTTTTCCCTAAACCATCATATCTGCGTGCTATTCCCAAAAAGCCTTTATTAATTTGTCCAATAATCATTAAATAGCTCTGGGGTTCAGGCTTCCTCAGTTTTTTAAGCTCTGAGTTTCTTTTTACAAACAAGTAGTTAGGAAATAAGGTAATGATGCAATCTATGTCTTTAGGGGCAAATCTACTGCTCTGCTGTTTTCCTGCCATTTTTCATAGGCCGCTTGAATGCTTACATGGTCTCTATCCATTCTTCTTACCACATATAAACTTGCCAAAATCTCAAAAGGGAACAGCCTTGCACCCTATTCCTGAAGTTTTATTCTCTATAACATGACATATATTCTCTATGCCTTAAGAATACAAGCCATGTTGTTCAACTCTTTGATTTTTTTTGCAAATATATATGTGTGTGTGTGTATATATATATATATATATATATATATATATATATATATATATATATATATATATATATGTTTTAAATTGGATAATTTTATACGTTACCTTATAAAGAAAAGCTCCCAAAGACTCATTGGATTTGGGGTGGGGGAAACACCCTGGGTATAACAATGCCATTGACAATTTCCTTGCCTTCTAATAAAAGGGGAAATACCTGGCATTTGTTTTCCAGAAGAGCAGCCTCCCAAGTCCAGATGTCAAACAGAATTGCAAATCGATCCACGCTTGCATGGGCCCATGCTGGGAGGCTGCTGCCCCTGGATTCACTGCCCTTTTTATGGCCTATGAAAGAAAAGAAGATAGGCAGGAATGAGTAGAACAGTAGTACTGAGGTAGTGAGCATTATAGATGAACACCCATCTGCTTTTCAGTTCTGTCTCAGTGACAAAAGGTTTATACTGTATCAAGAGATACTAGGGGCAGCTAGGTGGCGCAGTGAATAGACCTCTGGCCTTAGATCAGGAGGAGCTGAGTTCAAATCCAGCCTCAGACACTTAACACTTACTAGCTGTGTGACCCTGGGAAAGTCACTTAACCCCAACAGCCTCATCAAAAAAAAAAACCCAAAAAAAGCCAAAGAGAGAGAGAGAGAGAGAGAGAGAGAGAGAGAGAGAGAGAGAGAGAGATACAAACACTTAAGATCATAGGATGATAGATTTAGAGCAAAGGGAGCTTAGAGACCATTTTGTTCAACTCTCATTTGACAGATGAGAAACTGAGGGCCAGAGAAGTAACTGACCTTCTCATGGTCATATTGTAAGTAGTAAGGATTTGAACTCAAGTCTTTGACTATTCTTTACATGGCTAAAATTTATGATGAACCAGGCAACAGGGATTCCATAAACATAGCTACGGCCACTGATAGAGGAAAAAAACAAATAAGAGCCGTTCTTGTTGAATGGAATTATTGTTCAGAAGTGGTTGTTGTTGGTATTTTTTAAATTTTATGTTTTACTTTCAACAAAATGATTTGTGTCTCGGAGGCATTTGATAAATATTGGTTGTAAGTTTATTGAAATTAAGTTCTTGAGAAAGTTATATCCCTTTATTCAAATTTCCCTAAATCCAAGGTTTAAATTAAAAACATATCGGTGAATTAAAAAGTATTTGTTAAGCACGTACTATGTGCCAGACACTGGGCTAAGCATAGTGAAGACATCTACAGAGAGATAGATAGTCCCTGCCCTCAAGGAGCTCACATTCTCATATTTCTAAGAAAAAAAAAAAGAAAGAAAAGTTTAGTATTAGGAGCAGATGTGAAAACCCAGAAGTTCTAAGCACTTAGCATCAGGGCAGACAGCAAGGCCTAAGGATCCCTAGATTATATCAGTAGGTCAGATGACAGTGCCTGGAGTCTACTGGGTGTTTAGAGAGGAAGGGCAGACAACAAGACCTAGAGGACCTCAGGATGCAATGGCAGAGCAGACGTTAAGGCCTGGGAGTTTTTCATCTCAGAATGAATAGAATTGTTAACTCACATCTCATCCAAACACGTGAGCAGTCAAGTAGCTAGGATAGGTTCTGAGTAACCTATACCAAGGTAGGCAGCAAAGGGGAAAGGCAAGGGGGAAGACACCTGCCACCTAACCAGCCTAGATAGGTTTTGAGTATTCTGGGGTCAAAGGAGGAGCTAAGAGCGTAAGGAGATAAAAACAGGCCACACAGGTAGTTTCAAGACAGATTCAATTTAACTAGTTCTTTCAGTTGGCCTGGTCAGTATTACTTAGAGGAATTTCTAAGATATTACTTAATTAGGAGAAATAACATTAACCAATTTGGTCAGAAATGAGAACAACATTTGTCTTCCTCAGCTGACATCATGCCTAGTCTTGGTAAAAGGGAACTTTTTGTTAGAGGAAGGACCTCTATGCAAACAACATGAGTAGAGAAAGACTCAAAGTAAATCAGGGAAAATGCGTGGACCAGTGAATACTAACTACATCTGAGTACACCAAGATTCTTAATTAATAACTTTTCTGCCTCTGACACACACTGGCCGCATGACCCTGGGCAAGTCATTTCAACTGCTCAAATAACTCTCCCAGATTATCATTTGTAGAATGGTTGCCTGAGGTCTGTGATTTGATTGGTATAGGAAACTCCTTTTGTACTCTGCAATTTATACTCTAAAGATGACTAAGGCATCAAAAGTTTAAGAAAATTGCCCAGACTCACAGAGACAAGACATATCTGAGGTAACACTTGAACCCGGGCTTCCTGACTCCAAGGGTCACTCTTTATCCACTATGCTAGGCTACCTCTTGAAGCCTGCTAAAAATAACAATTATAGTTGAAAGTTAGCTCACAGGTCAACTAGTCTAATTCCCTCATTTCACAGAAGAAGCAAATACAGCCCCCAAAGGTTGCACAATTTGTCCAAGGTTACACGGCTACTCTCATAATGAATTCTTGTCGTCATTAAAATGTTATATTAATTTGTAACATGAGAATCGGGGTAGCATTACAAATAAACAAACAACCAGGGTTCAATTCAAGTTCCATCTTTGATACATAATGGTTGTGTAACCTTCAACAAGTCATTTAGCTTCTTAGCATCCCAAGCAACTCTCTAAGATTAGAAGGTGAAGAGAAAATGCTGATCTGTTTAGGTAGAAGGAGTTTTCTCACTGGGAATTCCTTACACCAGTGAAATCATAACAAAGAAAATACGACAGCTGCTAATCGCCTCTACCTCCCCCCCCAACAAACAACTGAAATTATATGATCCAAAATATACCCTCTGGTTTTGAAATTTGAAATTCAGCTTTCAAAGATAACTGCCAAAGACAGGTCAAAGTTTTCATTTTCATTCTAAATCAAATGCTGTGTGGGCTCTGAGGGGCCGTGTAGAAGCTGTGTAAAGTAAATATTTATTGTTGTACACTGCCAGGTGGAGGAGGGGCAGACTGCTTCACCTCCCATCCTGCCGCCATGTGTCCATGAATGCACGGTGCCTCTGTTGTGCTTATTCTTTTAGAATCACAGATGAATGAGGAGCTTGACATGAGATTACTCTGGCGAGCATCAGACCAGAGATCCATCAGAGTGATCCAAGGTCCTGCCAAAAGCCAGAGTCCCAGAGTTGGCAGCACTGCTGCCTATTGACAAGCCATGTATCGCTGCTTCAGCCAGCCCAGCAGTCAATCGGTTCACCAGCTGAGACAGCTAAGCAAAGGCGCAACCCATCTATTGATTATGCCTTACCTAGGAACAAACACAGTGGGGATTCCTCTCAAGGTAGGAGGTAGCCTGGGCCTCATGTGTTCCTTATAGTTTTGTTTCATTACTTCATGGTTAAGCCCATTCCCTGCCAGGGACTAAATGTGTGGAGAGTGAGCCCTCATTCTGAGGGGATGTTTTAGTAACTTCTGCCCTTGTTACATTTTTTCACTAAATTTTGTTGTTCAGTTGTTTCATCATGACTGACTCTTTGCAACCGCATTTGGGGTTTTCTTGGCAAAGATACTAGAGTGATTTGTCATTTCCTTCTCCAGTTCATTTTACAGATGCGGAAACTGAGGCAAACAAAGTTAAGTGACTTGCCCAGGGTCATACAGCTAGTAAGTATCTGAGGCCACATTTGAACTCAGGAAGATGAGTCTTCCTGACTTCCAGGCCCAGCATTCTGTCTACTGCACCACCTAGCTGCCTCTAATTTCAGTACATATCCTTTTGTGAAAGCTAATTGATATTAACTGGTTGATTAATATTGGAGAAGGATCAATTGGTTAACTGACACTGGGGTAACTTACCAGATAGGGGCTCATGAGCTATGCTATTAATCACAAATCTTCAGGATTACCCCTGGAGCCATGAAAGAAGTAGTCATCACCCTCTGGGGACCCTACCTGTCTGTGCAAGCAAAATATGAGTGGGGGCTGGAAGAGTGAATCCAAAGGGAGAGCTACATATAGATCTGGGAATCATCTGCATAGAGATGGTCATTGAACCTAAGAGAGTTTATGAGAACACAAGTGAGAATGCAGAGGGTGAAGAAAAGAGGGCCCAGTACAGAGCCTGAGGGGACACCCACAGGTAGCGGGCATGACATGAATTAACAACCAGTCCAGGAGACTAAGAAAGAGTAGTTGGGTAATAGAATTGGAAGAAGAAAGAGCTGTGTCATAAAAAATCCAGAGAGGAGAGAATATCCCACCAGAGGTGAACAACAGCATCATATGCTGCAAAGGTGTCAAGAAGGATGAGGACTGTCCAGGCAAGTTTCTTTGGGCAGCAGTTTATAACAAGAAGAATCCTGTCTGGCCTCAGTTTCCTCATTCCTAAAATATGAGCACTAGGTTAGATGATTTTTAAGCTCCTTTCTAGCTTAAAATTCTCTAAGTAAACTTTCATTAACAGTCAACACTTATCAAACCTCAACACCTGCTGACTTACCTGTCACCTACTTCCCCTTTGGCTTGCATAATACATGGAACTAAGTCTAGAAACACCAAGTTCTTTCCAGCGAGGCACAGGAATGCTGTTGTGTGATCATTTCCCCTTCTAAACACTTGAAAACATTTTTTTTCTCTTCCAAATATTTTTACCTTCTGAGTATTCCTGAGACTACTTCCTTTTTAACCTCATGTTTTTGGCCCAATTTGTTTAGAGGTTAGTTCTCTCCCTCCCACCTGCTTCCCCTTTCTTCCTCCCCCTTCCCCACTCTGTCTTCCCAATTCTCTAATATAGCAACGTCTGCATTCAGAGGGCAATCCCAAAATACTTTTGACTAACTGACAGACCCATTCTAGTTGTGAGCTGCGACAGTCTCTTCTCTTCTCTTCTCCCTTTGTACTCTTTGTCTTAGTGATGCCATCAATTCCTATGGGATCAATTATCATCTCTGTGCAGATGACTCCCACGTTTATATATCTAGTCTTTGTCTCTCTTCTAGACTCTAGTCCTTCATTATCAACTGAATATTGGAAATCACCATCTGTATTAGAGTAGGCATCTCAAACATAACATGTCCGAGAGGAAAATCACTATCTTTCCCTCCAACCCCAGTCCTCTCCCAAATCCTCTATTTCTACCGGGACTACTAGCATCCTTCCAGTCATTCAGCTTCATAATCTTGGAGTCAGCCTTGAATCTTCCTCTCTCGTATCTAATCAGTCACTAAGTATTTTTAATTCTACATCCATAACATCGTGTCTTTTCCCATCACTCACAAAGTCACTGCTCTACCTCAAGCCCTCACTCATCATCTTTCACTAGAACTACTGCTGTGGTCTCCCTGCTTCCACCTGCCCCTCTCTCCAACTCATGCTCCAAATTAATATTCTTAACATACAGATCTATGTCACTGCTCAAAAGTCTTCAGTGGCTCCTTATTGCCTCTAAGTTAAAATGCAAATTCTCTAGCCTCAAATTTAGCTCTTTGCAAGGTATCCTTCATCTGTCTTTCTAGACTTATACTATTCCTCCTCATGTATTCCATATCCTGCCCAGAATGGTCCACCTGTTCTACAAACTCAACATTCTACCCTACTCATTTATCAACTGAGATAGTATTTCTAGAAAGCACTTAATACAGTACCTGGCACAATCAGGTGCTTAATAAATTCTTGTTCCCATCCCTTCCTCTCTCACCTCCTTGCCTTTGCATTGACTGTCCTCATGTCTAGAATGCATTCTCTCCTCACCTCTGCCTCTAAACATCTCTAGCTTCATGTAACATCTTCTAGAGGGGATCCTTTTCTGATCACCCTAGTTGTTAGTGTTCTCTTGTACATCTCCAAATTATCATGTATATAAAGGCTGTCCCAAAAGTCTTAGTGTGGCTTTTATGCTCTTAAAAGTTAAAAAAAATACATATGTGTAACGTAACAGGAGGACAGACTATTGGGAGCCCTGTAAGGACACCTAGAGTTTATATAGGTACTGATCTGCTTAAATGTTGTATTTCCCCCTGTAGAATGTAAAAAGACTATTTTCCATTTTGTCTTTGTGTGCCAACACCTAGCACACTGCTGTACATGTGTATTTTGGGCTGGAGGTGTGATTTCATTGGTGTAGGAACTCCCAGTGTAGAAACCCCCTCTACCTATATAGATTGGCATCTTCTCTACAACTTATATTCTAAAAGCACTGCTTGGGGTACATAGTAGATGTTTAGTAAGTGCTTATTGAGTTGGGCTGGATTGTGCTGGAGCTCAGCCAGCCCTCTATCCATTCTCTCATTATTAGGAGAACGGAACTTAATAGAAACTGTAAATAACTGCATCTACTTTCATTTCCCTTCCCGCCCCGTCTCTCTCAGATGAGGGCCCTATTATTTGACCTTCGTAGACAATGCACCAGATGGGAGATGCAACATCCTGGGTGGGTGGTTTTGAGCAGGCATCTTACTTTTCTCTCTCTCAATGTAACGGCTCACTAGGAGCAGTAGCTGGTTCTCCAGTTCCTCCAGATCCTGTAAGGCACGGTCGTACATCACATAAGCTCCCTGCTGGTCCTGGACATGGATGTATCCATCTCCCATTGTGTAGAAGTCATCCTGATTTTTCCACTTCTGAGAATTCCATGAATTGAGTGCTCTGGACCTGAGGGACAACCAACCCCCAAAGTCATCAGAAAAAGGACAGCCATGTATTTCAAGCTAGGACAGGGTGCCCCCCAGTGGACCTGATGGCAGGACTTTGCCTTCAGGCGATGCGTCAGGATGTACTGTCAGAATCAAACAGTATCATGTGCAGAAAATGGGGAAATCTTAATATGAACGAGGGAAGCAGTTTGGTACAGTGGAAAGACTGCTGGATTTGGAGTCGGAGGACTTGGGTTTTCATCTCACTTGTGTCACTTTCTAGCTGTGGCATTACACAAATCACTCTGTCCCTCTGGGTCTAATCTCCTAATCTAGAAAATGACAGCATTGGAATGGATGACTTACAGGTCCCTTCTAGCTCGGAATCTAAAATCCTGTGAATGCTTAGGAGTTGGGATGTTGAGATTCATATTCTACTTAACCAAGAGAATTATTTTGTTTTTGACTTTTATTAAAGCATGGTCCTAAAATTCTCTAGAATATTTCTGCTTCAGGAAATAGAACACCCTGAATATATTTATATTTTTGTTTGAGTGCTGAGGATCATTTCCACTGAAAGTCATCATTCTGAAAGTATTATCATTTCTCTTTTTGTCACATTCTTTTGACTTTTGGTCGTAATGCTAGTGACTTTGTTGATTACCTCGATAGCTTGTTCATAATTGTTTGCCTGTTGTCTTCCCCCTTATTCTGTGAGCTCCTTTAGAGAAGGGTCTGGTTTTTTGTTTTTGCCCTTCTTTGCACAAATGCTGGGTGACTTGAATTTCAGATCTCCCTGTACAGTACGGTAGTTTTGGAGTGGGACAGAAGATAAGTGTGAATATATACTGACCATGCTATTGTTGTTCAGTCATTTCAGTCCTGTCTGACTCTTTTGTGACCCCATTTGAGGTTTTCTTGGCAAAGATACTGGGGTGTTTTGCCATTTCCTTCTTTTTTTAAAATTTTTTTATTTTTAGGCAATTGGAGTTAAGTGACTTGCCCAGGGTCACACAGCTAGTAAGTGCCAAGTGTTTGGTCTGAGGCCACATTTGAACTCAGGTTCTCCTGACTTCAGGGCTGGTGCTCTATCCATTGCACCACCTAGCTGCCCCCCTTTGCCATTTCCTTCACCAGCTTATTTTACAAATGAGGAAACTGAGCAAACAGGGTTAACTGACTTGCCCAGGGTCACACAGCTAGTAAATGAATGAGATCAGATTTGAGCTCAGGAAGATGAGTCTTCCTGACTCTAGGGCCCAGGACTCTTTCCACTGCACCAACTAGCTGCCCTACTGACCAGAGGTTTATCTGGCTAATCTGTAGTGGCTTAATGGGTTTTGGATAGTTCAGTTTTAGTTAGTTCAGGTGTAAATAATTTTTTTTACCTGCATTTTAGGTTCTTACATTTTTTAATGTACTAGAAAGAGCAATAAATTTGGAGTCAGAAGGCTTCAATTCAAGGTAGCCCCTTTACCTGTGTGACTGGTACAAACTGATTAAACTCTCTGTTTCCATTTTTTTTAAACTGTTTTATGAAGTGGTCAGAACAGGATTTAGAGCCGGAGGAGACTAGTGATCATTTGGACCAAATTTAACAGATCTCTAAGGTCCCTTCCAGCTCTAAATCCTAGGATCTTGCGAAATCTCTCTTTACACAATATATGACATTACATAATATATATAGCATTATGTACTAGATAAATTTATTTTGCTTTCCATAGACATCTGGTCTCATTTTTACTAGAGTTAAGTGCCATGATTTAAAGAAAAACACAAACATCATTTTCATCCAAATGTCTCATAATCTCCAGTTTCTCATGCAATAATTCTTCCTCCATGGAAAGCTCAGCTAAGTAAAGCAGCATATTGTTTAGACGGAATCCCATTACAACTGAAATTTTAAGTAATCATTATTTTTTTGGATGTGAATGTGCTTGTTGATTGATTTATGCAAGGAGAATTACATGGTGTGGGGCTGTGTCTAGAAGGCTTAAAAACCAAACACCAAGATGGCTTCTTTTCTGTCTGGTATAGTCATGTGGTCTTGCCAAAGAGATGAAGATGAACTCACTCATCTCTTCAGGTTTCGTCACAGGATGTAGAGCTGGTAGGAACTTTAGAGATCATCTAGTTCAACCCATTTATTTTATAGATTAGCAAAGTCTCTGAAAGGTTAAGTTATTTAAAATATCCAAGTGGTATACCAGAAGCAGTAAGTGAGCAGATTATTAAGAACTTTTTTTTTAATTTGAGCATTTTATACATTAGGAATTAGCAAATGACATTTACCACCATACCCCTGTAGAAGTATCCACACTAACCAAAATCAACATAGGAATTCTCATGTTTGGGGCTCTAAGTGACTCTACAAATTTACATAGAAGATTGGAAAGATCGTCATTCAATCAAGATTTTCTGTTTCTTTCTTTTATTTATAAACCTTCTTCTATAAATTTTACTCTACAACTGGTACTTACATGTAGGAAGTCATCCCAGTATGTTTGGGGGTATAATACATACAATGACTATAATAATAGCTAGCATTTTACATAGCACTTTAAGGTTTGCAAAGAGCTTTACAAATGTAATCTCATTTTATCCTCACAACAACTCTGAGAGGGAAATATTATCATTACTGTTGGTGTTATGACATGTTATAATAACATGTAATTATAGCCCATTAAGGTTTGCAAAGATCTTCACATATATTACTTCATTTGTAAATCCAATGCACAGTGGTTAGATCATTGGATCTGGATTCAGGAAGACTTGAGTTCAGACCCTGAGTCTGACACTTACCAGTTGTCTGACCTTGGTCAAGTCATTTAATCTCTGCTTGCCTTGGTTTCCTCATCTGTAAAATAGGGGTAATAATAGCACCTACCTGTCAGGGTTGTTGTGAGGATCAAATGAGATAATATTTGTAAAGTACTTTGCAACTCTTAAAGGGCCATATAAATGTTAGCTATTATTGTCGTTGCTGTTCGTGTTTTTATTCCAATGAAAAATAAATAAACATAAATTAAAACAGCACAAAAAGTCCACCAAGTTCAGATTAATTGCAATGACCAATCTTGGTTCCAGAGAACAGATGGAAACAAATTTCCCTCCTCTCAGTAGAGAGGAAACCCAGGGCAAGATTCTGCATATGGTATTATTCACAAGCGCAAATACTGCCTTTTCAAAGCCCTTCATTAGAGTGAGAGGGGGTCAGAAAGGCAGGAACCTGGGCTGGGCTCCTGGGTACACAGTTACTGTCTTTCCTCAACAAATCCCAATATTTCCTGCTTCACTTTGAAAGTGGTTCAGGAAACTGTTTCAGCCAGCAGATGAAGCTATCTTGGTACAGTGGAAAGAGTTTAGGATTTGAAGTCACAGGATGTGGATTTGTATCTAAATCTACTACTTTAGTATCTCTACATGATCATGGACAAGTATGCCTACTATGTGCCAGGCACTATGCTAAGCCTTCAGTATACAAAGTATAAAAAGTATAAAAAGCAAAAACAGTCCCTACCCTCCAGGAGCTCACACTCTAATGCAAACAACCATGAACAAACAAGATATAGACAGGATCAACTGGGGATAATCTCAGAGGAAAGAAACAAGCATCAAGGGACAAATCTCTTAACCTGTCTAGGTCTCAGCTCCTCATCTGAAAAACAAAGGGATAAGAAGAGATGACTTCTAAAATACTTTCTGGGGCAGCTAGGTGGCACATTAGAAAGCGTACTGGGCCTACAGTCAGGAAGACCCAACTTTCTTGAGTTCAAATCCGGCCTCGGACACTTACTAGCTGTGTGATCCTGGACAAGTCACTTAACCCTGTTTCCCTCAACTTCCTCATCTGTAAAATGAGCTGGAGAAGGAAATGACAACCCTCTCCAGTATCTTTGCCAAGAAAACCCCAAATGGGGTCACAAAGAGTTGGACATGACTGAAATGACTGAACAACAACAAAAAATCCTTTCTAATTCAGAATCTAGAATCCTATGCTATATCAGAGTTGTGCTACTGGGCTATGTACAGCAACAAAATAGCGATGATTGAACTTGGCAAGTACTACAGCGTAATTTTCTTCTATTTTATCTCCATGGCCTCCCAATAGCTTCCTCAGAGCGGTCATTAACCTATGACTGCAAACAAATTACTGTGTTCTGACAAGGCTGGCTGTTTTAGGAAGAAATACCTAAGAAATACGTCCAGCGGTAGGAGCCTAGAATTTAGATCTGGACTTAACTGATCAATCAACAAGCATTTATTAAATGCCTATAAAGCAGGCGGGTGGCACAACATATAGAATATGGGACTTGGAGTCAAGAAGACTTTAGTTAGACCTTGCCCTCAGATACTTATTAGCCATGTGATACCAACATCCACCTCATAGAGTTGGTGGGAAGAATCAGTGAGATTACATATGTAAAGTGCTTTGCCAACCTTAAAGTGTTATATACACGCTTTTATTATTATTGCTATTTCATGCCAGAGACTGTGCTAAGTGCTGGTGATACAAAGACAAAAATGAAAGGGCCCTGGCCTTCAAGGAGTTTATAATCTAGTCCGGGGAGATAGCATGTCCATATAGAGACCATAGAATCCAATCCTCTCCTTTTACAAATAAGGAAACTGAGACCCAGGAAAGTTAAATGATAAGATCACACAAGTTGTAAATAACAGATTTAAACCCAGGACTCTCTGACCTAAATACTACTTTCTTTCTCTTGTCTCTCTAATAATTATAAATGATCGTGTAAAAACAAGGGGAATCAATCAAAATTTAAAACAAATAAAACTAAAAAAAAATGAAAAACCAATAAAACTAATTATAAATGATCACAGTGTCATAGATTTAGAACTGGAAGGGGCTATGGAGGCCACTGAGTTCAACTCTCACGTTATATTGATGAGGAAACTGAGGCACAGAGAGATTTAGCGATTTGCTCAGTGTCACACAATTAGTATGGATCAGAAATAGGGCTTGAACCTAGGTCTTTCTGACTCTATACCACAATTCTT